CTAACCTTCTGTTCCAGGTAGCCCTAAGAACTGCTCCTTTTGTCCTGCTGAACTCTTTCTGATGGAAGGACAAATAGCCCAAATTTACAGCTGGAAAATGCAAATGTGGCCAGGTTACTTTAGATCTCAATTAGTAGCCCCTTTGAATGGTAGACTAAAACACCAGGTCAGGGTCAGATGGAGGTAAGCATGGATCCACAATAAGGATCTTCGGGCCAGATTTTCCAGAGATATTTACGTGCCTAAATATGCAGATTTGTGCCTAGTGGGATTTTCAAATATGCCTAAGCAGGTTAGACACCTAAATCTCATTGAAATCAAATAGAAATTAGGCACCTAACCTGCATAATCATGTTTGAAAATCCCACTAGGCACCTACCTGCATCTATAGCCACCTAAGTACCTTTGAAAATCTGGCTCTTAGCCATATTTGTGAACCTACTTCTCTGAGCTGCCCTAGGTGCTTAACGACCAGTCCTGAGAATTGGGCCTATATACTCTGAGCCATCACAAGGATTTGGAGGATAGCATTCTGCCCTCAGTTACACCTTTGCAGTAACATTGACCTCAGTGGGATTGCAGCCAGGTACACAATCACAAATTGTCTCCTGGAAATTTAGTGGGGGCATCAAACTGAAAATTACCGAGATCAGAAAAAAATGTGATTCCCGACTGCATAGCAAGTAAGGAATCTTCATGACCCATTTGGTTCTTAAAGACACACCGGTTACTTCAGTCTGTAGTGGGCAGTCGTTATAATCTGTTAAAAACTCAACTCCGTTGATGGAAAACTATGTGCCCATGGGGTGTTGGCTTTGGTGAGGTTTCTGCTTTCTCCCTCTTGTCATTCATCTAAAATCTCCCCATACTCTAACCCCTTTTCACTCTGAGATTTTAGTCTTTTCTAACTGATCTTTTTTTTTTCACATTGCAGTCCCCACTCCATCCCAGACCGCCTGCGGATCCGAGTGAACAGGATTAGTTTACAAGATTACGAGGGGCTGCATTATGACAAGGAAAAACTGCGAGAAGCCTGTAAGTCAGTAGTGGCTGATTGAGCTATTGCTTTCTTTTGCCAGATAATGTCTGTAATAGACCTGATACTAGAAAAAGTGCAAGGATCAAGTATTCATTATGCGTAGCTTGTACATGGAATATACAAGTGTGTCCATAATTAGGCATGAACTTTGTATGTTATTTACATTAATCTTAGAATAACTGATCCTTGTTTATCATCCATGTATGGACTTAGACAGTAGTCATAAGTCAGGATAGTATGCTTGTACTGTGCATAGTAATTGAAAACAGCTGTCTTTTTTTTTTTTTTAAATCAGTGTCTCCCTGTTGGCCATATTGGATTTTACTAATTTTTAAAGATTCTGTAATTGACTTAAAATTTCCAGGCAGGTGTTCAATTATTGGATTAATCATATCATATCTAGGAGTTGCATTGGCATCTAGGATGGTCACAAAGCAGATACATTTGCCTTTGCAGGTGAATCATGCAACCTGAATCCCTTATTCTTTAACAGCCCTCAGCACTCCATAAAGGAAAAAAAAATCAGTGTTTTGTGTTCTCTTGTAGTGATTTAATCATAGAATATCAGGGTTGGAAGGGACCTCAGGAGGTCATCTAGTCCAGCCCCCTGCTCAAAGCAAGACCAATCCCCAACTAAATCATCCCAGCCAGGGCTTCGTCAAGCCTGATCTTAAAAACCTCTAAGGAAGGAGATTTCACCACCTCCCTAGGTAACCCATTCCAGAGCTTCACCACCCTCCTAGTGAAAATGTTTTTCCTAATATCCAACCTAAACCTCCCCCACTGCAACTTGAGACCATTACTCCTTGTTCTGTCATCTGGTACCACTGAGAACAGTCTAGATCCATCCTCTTTGGAACCCCCTTTCAGGTTGAAAGCAGCTATCAAATCCTCTCTCATTCTTCTCTTCTGCAGACTAAACAATCCCAGTTCCCCCAGCCTCTCCTCATAAATCATGTGCTCCAGCCCCCTCATCATTTTTGTTGCCCTCCGCTGCACTCTTTCCAATTTTTCCACATCCTTCTTGTAGTGTGGGGCCCAAAACTGGACACAGTACTCCAGATGAGGCCTCACCAATGCCGAATAGAGGGGAATGATCACATCCCTCAATCTGCTGGCAATGCTCCTACTTATACAGCCCACAATGATGTTAGCCTTCTTGGCAACAAGGGCACACTGTTGACTCATATCCAGCTTCTCGTCCATGTAACCCTAGGTCCTTTTCTGCAGAACTGCTGCCTAGCCATTTGGTCCCTAGTCTGTAGCAGTGCATGGGATTCTTCGTCCTAAGTGCAGGACTCTGCAATTGTCCTTGTTAAACCTCATCAGATTTCTTCTGGCCCAATCCTCGAATTTGTCTAGATCCCTCTGTATCCTATCCCTACCCTTCAGTATATCTACTACTCCTCCCAGTTTAGTGTCATCTGCAAACTTGCTGAGGGTGCAGCCCACGCCATCCTCCAGATCATTAATGAAGATATTGAACAAAACCAGCCCCAGGACCGACCCTTGGGGCACTCCACTTGAAACCGGTTGCCAACTAGACATGGAGCCATTGATCACTACCCGTTGAGCCCGACAATCTAGCCAGCTTTCTATCCACCTTATAGTCCATTCATCCAGCCCATACTTCTTTAACTTGACATCAAGAATACTGTGGGAGACTGTAGCAAAAGCTTTGCTAAAGTCAAGGAATAACACGTCCACTGCTTTCCCCTCATCCACAGACCCAGTTATCTCATCATAGAAGGCAGTTAGGTTAGTTAGGCATGACTTGACGTTGGTGAATCCATGCTGACTGTTCCTGATCACTTTCCTCTCCTCTAAGTGCATCAGAATTGATTCCTTGAGGACTTGCTCCATGATTTTTCCGGGGACTGAGGTGAGGCTGACTGGCCTATAGTTCCCCGGATCCTCCTCCTTCCCTTTTTTAAAGATGGGCACTACATTAGCCTTTTTCCAGTCATCCGGGACCTCCCCCGATCACCATGAGTTTTCAAAGATAATGGCCAATGGCTCTGCAATCACATCCACCAACTCCTTTAGCACCCTCGGATGCAGCGTATCCGGCCCCATGGACTTGTGCTCATCCAGTTTTTCTAAATAGTCCTGAATGACTTCTTTCTCCACAGAGGGTTGGTCACCTCCTCCCCATGCTGTGCTGCCCAGTGCAGTAGTCTGGG